TCTGTAATTGAATGTATCCTGTAAAAAAAGCTCTAGTTTATATTTTTATGTTTGCTCTTTGTATTATCATCAAGCCCTCTTATAATATGAAGTGATTAAATTATCCCTCTATCTTCTGGTCTCTAGGTACCGGATCTTTGCTTTTGATCATGACCTCTTTAGCTTTGCAGATTTGACTTTTGGCAAGTGGCCTGTGGTTCTTATCACTAATCCTAAATCACTGCTCTATACTTGTGCTAAACATGAACCACTAGAAAGAATCCTTCACTCAACACACATCAGGTATGTTGTAATGTTTCAGAATTGATAACCTAGAAGGTAACAGCCACGCACAGGAAATCAATGTGAGTCAATGCCCTGTATAGCTATCCTTATCTCAACCAGCAAAACCCCTTGTTCCTTCCTATTATTGCTTATACTCTCTCTACAACAAAATTAGAGATAAGGCAAAATAGTTTCTGCTGGGTATGAGGGGGGGGAGCGGGAGGGGGTGGAGTGGGTGGTAAGGGAGGGGGTGGGGGCAGGGGGGAGAAATGAACCAAGCCTTGTATGCACATATGAATAAAAAAAAAAATGTTTCAGAATTGACTTATGATTTGATGTTGATGGAGAATAAGTCGTCATTGTGATTACATTACAATATGAAAGCTATGAGATGTCTCCCTTTAGTTTTCTCAATAAGTTAGACAACCTAAAATTATATAAAGATAAATTGCTTGCTATTTCATTCCCATTCAATGAAAATATATAATTATTTTTTGGGTGGTGTTGGCGATTGAACCCAGGACCTCATGCATGCTGAGCAAGTGCTCTACCACTGAGCCATATCCCAGCCCCCCAATTATATAGTTTTTTAAGCTTCTAAAAAATTTTAAATTATTCACAAACCCATAATCCAATATCTGTTATTTTTGTGTTATTTTATTCCAGCCTTTTATTTGCATATTTTTATCTTGTATCTCACATTTATTTGTTTGTTTTTTATTTATTATGTTAGGGATCACACCCAACACTCATCCATGCTGGACAAATGTTCTACCAGTGAACTATACCCTCAGCCCTTGATTTTTTGACCCAGGGTCTTGTTATGTAGTTCAGGCTGGCTTTGAATTCCAGATCCTCCTGCCTCAGCCTCCCAAGTGCTGGGATTACAGATATATACTACCACTGTCATTTTTTTCTTTCAACACAGAGAACATATCACAGTTTATGTAACTGTTTTCTAACTTGTTAGTGGAATTTTAAGTTTTTCTTATTTGAGAATGTACATCTCATGCATGTAGATTCTTTTTCTATTTCTTTAAGGTAGATTTCTATAAGTGGGATTCAAGGTAAAAGAATTTGAATTCTTTTAGGACTGCTGATAAAGATCACCTGATTAATAAAATTATTCTAAAATTATTATTAGTTTTTTTTTTTGTGGGACTGTGGTTTGAACTCAGTGCTTCATGCTTACAGAGCAGGCACTCTATCACTTGAGCCATACCTGCAGTCCATTTTGCTCTGGTTATTTTGGAGATGGGGTCTCGAGAACTATTTGCCAGGGCTGGCCTCAAATGGAGATCCTCCTGATCTCAGCCTCCCAAGTAGCTAGGATTATAGATGATCCACTGGCGCCCTGCATCACTATTCTTTCTCTCTCTCTCTCTCTCTTTTTAATTTATTTAGACAGTGCTAGGATTTGAACTCAGGGCCTCATGCTTACTAGGCAGGTGCTCTACCACTTGAGTCACTCTACCAGCCATATTCTTTTTGACAATGATAAAATATGTCATGTGAACTATTTTTAAGTGTACAGTTCAGTGGCATTAAGTATGTTCACATGGTGTACAACCATGATCACTCTCTCCAGAACTTTTTTCACCTTTTAAAACTAACATTCTGTACTTTTGAATAGTACTTCCTCATTCCCTCTTCTCCCCAGCCCAACAACCACCATTCTACTTTCTAAGTATTGTGAATTTGACTAGTCTAGGTACTCTACAAAAGTGAAACCATAATTTGTCCTTTTCTTTCTGGCTTATTTCATTTAACATAAAGTCTTTAAGAGTTCATCTGTGTTGTAGCATGTGTCAGAATCTCCTTCCTTTTTAAGGCTGAATATTATTCCATTGTATTTATGTACCATATTTTATTTATCCATTTCATCTGTTGGTGGACTTCTTGGGCTGTACCCACCTTTTGGCTATACTAAATAATGCTTCTATGAACATGGTTGTACAGATATCTCCTCAAGTCTCTGCTTTCACAAGTGAAATTGCTGAATTATATGATACTTTTTTTAAATAAATTTTTATCAATTTTTGTACAGGAGGTACATTATGATACAAATTTTTATCATATTTTTGTTGTACAAGGGGTCCATTGTGACATTTATAAGTGCTTATAATATATCATAGTTAAATTTACCCCCTCCATCATTCTCCTTTATCCCCCCTTCCTCCATTCTTAGAATAGTTTCAACATATCTCATTTTTCCATTTTCATACATGAGTATATGATAATTCTATACTTAATTTTTTTCTTTTTGGTAGGACTGGAGTTTAAACTGAGGACTTTTGAATTTACAAAGCAGGCGTTCTGCTGCTTGAGCCACACCTCCAATCTCTTTGCTCTGGTTCTTTTTGGAGATGTGGTCTTGAGAAGTATTTGCCTGGGCTGGTCTTGAACTGCAGTCCTCCCAATCTCAACCTCCTAGGTAGCTAGGATTACAGACATGAGCTACCATGCCTGGTTTCTATGCTTAAGTTTTTTAAGGAGCTGCCCTAGCATTTTTTCATGGTGGCTGCACCATTTTACATTCCCACCATCAGTGTGCCAGCTACCCAATTACTTTAAAAACAGACGCTAATTTATAATGTTACCAAGAAATACGAGTGTCAAATCCACAGCATTCTATTTTTGTTGTTATTGGGGGAGGAGGGTAACTGGGGTTTGAACTCAGAGCTTCACACTTGCAAAGCAGGTGCTCTACTGCTTGAACCACACCTTCAGTCCATTTTGCTCTGATTATTTTGGATATGGCATCTTGAGAACTATTTACCCAGGCTGGCCCCCAACTTTGATCCTCCTGATCTAAGCCTTCCAAATAGCTAGGATTACAGATATGAGCCATTGGTGCTTCAGCTAACACAACATTCTTATCAGTATTGACTATTATACATTTTAAAGTTTTTACTAATTAATCTGAAATAAATGGTACCAATCTGTTTACATTTATTTATTTACTTACTTATTTATGATCAATAATAAAGTGGAATACACTTCTGTCAATCAGGTTTTTTGATTGGAACTAGGCATCAGTTGCATACTATTTGAAAGGGCCTGGTAGTGTACCTCTGGTTGTGATCTTGCTTCTTCTGGGCAGATACATTAGGATCCAGATGAGTAGATTACAGACTTGACATCAGGTTAATGAGGTGCCCATCCTATATTCTCTTTAAGAGAAAACACAGGGTTTCAGTAGTCTCTTCAGAAAGAATTTTGAATCTATCCTCATTAAATTTTTCAAAAGAAACTGATTTTCTTCCCTAAAAAGCTAAAGAATAGTTTATAATTTCCTACCAACTCAGGTTTCTTGAATTGTATGGCGGTCCCTACAGTTGTACAATGTGGTGATTCTTTCTGTAATTATATATTTTCAGGTTATAATAGAATTATTCTCCTTTATAAAAACAATGACAAATATCTGAAACTATGTATTTTTGTATATGCTCTCATTTTAGAGTCTTGGCCTTTTCCCTATCCTCTATTACTTCTGTCACTGTTAAGATTGATGGAGTTAACTTAGGACAGGCTGTTCATTTGTCTGGTCCTATTTTCATACTGAAGTGGAATCCCAGAAACTACAGTAATGAGACACATAATATAGAAGTAATAGTCCAGGTAAGTTAGTAATTTTCAGTTTGCTATTAAAATGATTAGGCTGTTGCCACAATGAACTATGATTTGGGATTTTTTAAGTCAATTTGTAAAGAAACTAAGTTTAATAAACAGTAAGAAAATTGAATACACTATATTTAGTATATTCTGAAGATGGGCACTAAGGAGTAATTCTATTAGATTAAAAACTGGGCAGAAGATAGAAGTGTCTCTACTGGCCATGTCTCTCCCTCACACACACTCTTCTTAGCCCCAGGAATCATGTTCTTTTTAAAATTCCAACTTTGGCCACAGTCTTTTAATAAGGGGGCAAATTCCCCAAAATACCTCAGGACAATAGCATAGGTCAAAAATCATGTATTTATACGTCCATGGCTTTAATTACTGTCTCTAAGTGGAGGACAGCTGTGTCACTATTTGAAAGCTCCTAGGACACAGAAATTTCAAGGCTTCAAAGGAACTTTTTTGCAGGGGAGAATGCATTGATAGCATATGTAGTAAAAGTGTGCTTGTCCTTGTTCTGGTTGTTTGGAGCATTTAATTCATTAGCACCTGCCAGAGTAGAAGTGATAACAGTTACCAAAATAGAGCACTTTCTTCAAATTCTTCAGGGGATAAGTTTTCTTTGGAAACTGAAACTTTGATCCTATAGCATTTCCTGTATTCTGGATTTTTGCTGTTTAAATCCATGTGGTATTATTTAACATCCTCCTCTGCCCACCCCCAACAATTTCTATAACTAGCAATTAGATTTAGAGGTGTGATTAGATTTGAGTTTTTGGTTTTTGGAAAGAATGCTTTTTGGATGTTTAATGATTTTATCTAGATGCACTGATCATGTATTCAGGTGTTGGAAGCCTTTACCTATTAGGGTGCTGGCAAATATTCATCAACCAATTTGGGATGGGCTATGGAGGTGGAGGAAGGAGAGGCTCTTGGTTTGTGCCAATTTCCATGGCACAAATCTTTTTACCATGCCTGGTTTTAAGCCACAGTGAACTATGATGCTAAGCAGCTGCAAACACAATCTAAGCAGCCTGCAAAGTTCCTGGACATTTATCAGTTGGACCTTGTGAGCCAGTAGAGCCAACTCCAGCACGCTCCATCAGCTTTTTATGAAGGGTTTCTAGCAGCCATTGACGATCTTTGCCTAGATTCATTTTTCATTGGTTATAAAATGGTAAATATTCAAATTCTCTCTCCTTATTAAGGAAGTAGTAATTAGAATACTCCTATAAAGAAAAATTTCCCTCATTTATTTACTATTGAGATAACAGAGTTCAGAAAAGAAATGCAAAAAAAAATTTTTTTTTTTGGTGGGACTGGTGTTTGAACTCAGGACTTCGCACTTACAAAGCAGGCACTCTGCCACCTGAGCCACACCTCCAGTCCATTTTGCTCTGGTTATCTTGGAGATGGGGGTCTCATGAACTATGCCTAAGCTAGCCTGGAATCTTGATCCTTCTGATCTCAGCCTCCCAAGTAGCTAGGATTATAGAAATGAGCCATCGGCTACCGGCATAGGCAAATTCTTGATTTTTCCCCCATTCCCTTTTCTAAACCAGTTTTCAGAATAATGAGTTGATTCATTAGGATCTGCCAAAGATGATGAATGAGTCCTTCCTTTACTTCTAGTATCATTATGAATTTAAAGATTAAGTATATATATATATATATATATATATATATATGTTTCCATCTGTTTCATTTGTTCTTTTTGATGCTCAAATTGTTCCATCTTTGGCTAGTGGGAGCTTCTTCATATTGAGTACTAAGTCCTTTGACACAATCCCAGTACTCTTTATTAATTTTCTTTTTATTTTTTTGGTGCTATTAAGGTTTGATTCAGTGCCTTTCACTCTGAGCCATATCCCCATCCTTTTTTGCTTGTTATTTTTTTAGACAGTCTCATGTTTTTCCCAAGGCTGGCCTTGGACCTTGATCCTCCTACACATTCCTCCCACATAGCTGGGATTATAGGCATGTACCACCATCTTCATCTTTTTTTTTTTTTCACCATCTTCATCTTTTGGTTGGCAATAGCCTCAAACTGCAATCCTCCTGATCTCTACCTCTTGAGTAGCTGGGATTATAGGTTACACCATCACACCCAACCCTTTGTATTAGTTTTCTTAGTTATTGGTATGATAAAATATTCCAACATCTTCTTGTGCATTTATTATTCAAGAACAGGAATCAGCCATTTCTCTAAGAAGAAACCTAGTAAGAACTGCTTTTTTGAGATCACAAACTGGACACTAGCCCCACTACTCATTGCTATTGGGTTTGTTATTATTTCTAGACCTTTTCAGCAAACAGAGGGAAATGAAGATGTTCTTTCAGGGTATGGTGATATTTTTAAATTTAGAATTATAGGGTTTAAGAGAAGTGCCATCAAAAGTACTTACAACTACTCAGGAGGCAGAGATCAAGAGGTTTGCAGTTTGAAGCCAGCCTAGGCAAATAGTTTGCAAGACCTTATCTTTTTTTTTTTTTATTATTCATATGTGCATACAATGCTTGGGTCATTTCTCCCCCCCTGCCCCCACCCCCTCCCTTACCACCCACTCCATCCCCTCCCTCTCCCCTACACCCCCTCGATACCCGGAAGAAACTATTTTGCTCTTATCTCTAATTTTGTTGAAGAGAGAGTATAAGCAATAATAGGAGGGAACAAAGGTTTTTGCTAGTGGAGTTGACTCACATTAATTTCCTGTGTGTGTGTGTTACCTTCTAGGTTAATTCTTTTTGATCTAACCTTTTCTCTAGTACCTGGTCCCCTTCTCCTATTGGCCTCAGTTGCTTTAAAGTATCTGCTTTAGTTTCTCTGCATTGAGGGCATCAAATGCTAGCTAATTTTTTAGGTGTCTTACCTATCCTCACCCCTCCCTTGTGTGCTCTTGCTTTTATCTTGTGATCAAAGTCCAATCCCCTTGCTGTGTTTGCCCTTGATCTAATGTCCACATATGAGGGAGAACATACTGTTTTTGGTCTTTTGGGCCAGGCTAACCTCACTCAGAATGATGTTCTCCAATTCCATCCATTTACTAGCGAATGATAACATTTCATTCTTCTTCATGGCTGCATAAAATTCCATTGTGTATAGATACCACATTTCTTAATCCATTCGTCAGTAGTGGGGCATCTTGGCTGTTTCCATAACTTGGCTATTGTGAATAGTGCTGCAATAAACATGGGTGTACAGGTACCTTTGGAGTAACCTGTGTCACAGTCTTTTGGGTATATCCCCAAGAGTGGTATTGCTGGATCAAATGGTAGATCAATGTCTAGCTTTTTAAGTAGCCTCCAAATTTTTTTCCAGAGTGGTTGTACTAGTTTACATTCCCACCAGCAGTGTAAGAGGGTTCCTTTTTCCCCCACATCCTCACCAACACCTGTTGGTGGTGGTGTTGCCAATGATGGCTATTCTAACAGGGGTGAGGTGGAATCTTAGTGTGGTTTTAATTTGCATTTCCTTTATTGCTAGAGATGGTGAGCATTTTTTCATGTGTTTTTTGGCCATTTGAATTTCTTCTTTTGAGAAAGTTCTGTTTAGTTCACTTGCCCATTTCTTTATTGGTTTATTAATTTTGGGAGAATTTAGTTTTTTAAGTTCCCTATATATTCTGGTTATCAGTCCTTTGTCTGATGTGTAGCTGGCAAATATTTTCTCCCACTCTGTGGGTGGTCTCTTCAGTTTAGAGACCATTTATTTTGATGAGCAGAAGCTTTTTGGTTTTATGAAGTCCCATTTATCTATGCTATCTCTTAGTTGCTGTGCTGCTAGGGTTCTGTTGAGAAAGTTCTTACCTATACCTACTAACTCCAGAGTATTTCCTACTCTTTCCTGTATCAGCTTTAGAGTTTGTGGTCTGATATTAAGATCCTTGATTCATTTTGAGTTAATAATTGGTATAGGGTGATATACATGGATCTAGTTTCAGTTTTTTGCAGACTACTAACCAGTTTTCCCAGCAGTTTTTGTTGAAGAGGCTGCTTTTTCTCCATCGTATATTTTTAGCGCCTTTGTCAAAGACAGGTTGGTTATAGTTGTGTGGCTTCATATCTGGGTCCTCTACTCTGTTCCACTGGTCTTCATGTCTGTTTTTGTGCCAGTACCATGCTGATTTTATTGTTATTGCTTTGTAATATAGTTTGAAGTCAGGTGTCGTGATACCTCCAGCATTGTTCTTTTGACTGAGTATTGCCTTGGCTATTCGTGGCCTCTTGTGTTTCCATATAAATTTAACGGTAGATTTTTCGATCTCTTTAATGAATGTCATTGGAATTTTGATGGGAATTGCATTAAACATGTACATTACTTTTGGAGTATAGACATTTTTACCATGTTGATTCTACCAATCCATGAGCATGGGAGATCTCTCCACTTTCTATAGTCTTCCTCAATCTCGCAAGACCTTATCTTGAACGTACCCAACACAAAAAGGGCTGGTGGAGTGGCTCAAGTGGTAGAGCACCTACCTACCAAGTATGAAGACCTGAGTTCAAACGTCAGTATAGCCAAAAAAAAAAAAGTACTTACAAGGAAAACCTAAGTGAAAAAAGTAGTTAGTAGTTAATTTACAGATAACTGATAAAAGTATTAGAAATTTACTCTTGTAAGTAATGTGTGTAATTAGACATTATACATACATAAATGTGCATGTGATTATTTCTCCGCTGTTTACACTAGGATTCTGCTGGAAGAAGTAAGAAGGTTCACCACATATTTTCTGTTCAAGAGAACATTCATCTCACATTTGATCCCCTGGCATCATTTATTCTCCTTACTGACCACTACATTGTGGTAAGTGAGTTCAGTTAAGTAATATATGTGTTTTTACTGAATTTGATAAATGCAAAATTCTAAATAATATAGTCATCAAGAAAGCCAAACCTTATAAATTAAGTTTAGTTATTTTAGAAGAATAAAATGCTTTCAAGTTGATTTGAATTAGAATAAGCAGAGGCAGGGCCATATAAGTCGTCTGGGCCTGGTTCTAACCAATGTCATAAAACCACGATAACTAAGGATGCTAGTCACTAATACTTCCCAGTTTTAAGTTGTTTCCAATTTTTCCTCTAATATGTGAATAATGCTTTTAACTAAACTTTTGCATATGTTGTTAATGTAGTATCTTGGGATAAACTCCTACAAGTTGCTAGAACAAAGGGTGACACTATTTCATATACTTTCCTTCATTATTATAATGACACTTTTTTTTTTTTTTTTTTTTTGCACCGCTGGGGTTTGAATTCAGTGCATACACCTTGAGCTATCCTACCAGCCCTTTTTTGTGATGGGTTTTTTCAAGATAGGGTCTCGTGAACTACTTGCCCCGGGCTGGCTTTGAACCTCGATCCTCCCTGCCTCCTGAGTAGCTAGGTTTACAGGCATGAGCCACTGGTTCCTGGTCAAGTTATTTACTGTATTACATTCATTAGTTTTTTTTCCTATCCTTCTCATTAAAATATAAGCCTCATGAGGACAGGGATCTTTGTTTGGTATGCCCAGTATATAGTAGGCCCTATTAAATCTTTTCTTGAAAGAGTTTTCTTAGTTTTTAGTGTACACTATTAAACTGTCTTCAGAGAAACTGGTAATTATATTCTTCTGCCTTAAAATCCTATTTCTCCTTGATGTTAACTTAAAATATAAAAAAGACATATTGTAAAGAAAATTTAAACCTCCTAAAGATAGCTTTAGGGTATATTATAACAGACTTGAAATGTGAAATCATTGTTTTAATTTACTTTTACTACTTGTATGATTGAGCTTTTTAAAAATAATGGAGCCAGGAGTAGTGGTACATGCCTGTAATCCTAGCTATGGAGGAGGCAGAGGCAGGGAGGATCTTGAATTCAAGACTGGTCCAAGCAAAGTTAGCAAGACCCTATCTCAAAAACAAAATTAAAAAAATATTTCCAGCTGGGTGCTCATGCCTATAATCCTAGCTAGTTGAGATTGTGAGGATCAAGGCTTGAGTCCAGCCTGGGCAAACAGTTCAAGAGACCCTATCTCAAAACTACCCAACACAAAAAAGGGCTGGCAGAGTGGATCAAGTGGTAGAGCACCTGCTTTGTAAACGTGAGGCTCTGAGTTCAAATCCCAGTACCACTAAAATCAAACAAACAAAAAAAACATGGCTCAAGTGGTAAGCACACTAACAAGTATGTATTAGTCACCTGGGAAAATTATTTTTACAGATTCTGATTCAGTAGGGGTCAGATGGGGTCTGTGATTCTGCATTCCTGACAGGCTCAAGGTTATTCTATTCTTGTGATGGTCTGGGAGCCATACTTTGAGAAACAAGTCCCTAGATCTTCTGTGAGGTTTTCTCCAAGTGAATTACTTCTTGATGGAGAAAGCAGAAAAATGAAGTCTCTACTCAGTTATCCTGCAGTGTACTGCGTAGTGTTTTTTTTCCTCAAAAATAACTTTAAATACAACAAAACAAATTATCTTTCTCATACAATTTAAGTGGAATACTGTAATCATTTAATATAATTGTATAAAACAACTTAGTCAAATACTGATCTAAATAAATCCACAAAAAGAAATGATGAAGCAATTTATAATTTTCTTTATCAGTGGATCAGATGTTTGATTTTCTTTGACCATGTATTTCTCTTATAGAGTCATTTTTTTGTTAATGGTGCTAAAAAACAAAACCCATCTGTTTCTCTTTATATGTACACAATACTTCTAATAACAAATATGTGGGTTCTTCTAAGCCAAAAAATTCTCTAGGTATCAGGGAACACTGACTAGGTGTTCTATAATTTAACTCAGTTCTGACACTAACTGTCAGGAATTAGTACAGACCCCATAGGTTAAAGGGTGCAATGCTACACTCTCACAACCCTGCTTCAGACATCAATCATGAGTCCAGGATGTCACCTGTGCTTCTATTGAAGCAGCTGTAGATCAGACATTTCCAAGTCTTCCTTCCTCAGATTCAATAATGCGCTAGAACAACTCACAGAACTCAGGAAAACAGTTTACTTACTAGATTACTTGTCTATTATAGAATACAATCAGCATCAGTCAGAAGGAAGGCCAGGGCACAAGGTACGGTGGTCAGGCATGAGCTTCCATGCCCTCCTCAGGCACACGCCACTCACCCTGCACCTCCAAGTACTCACCCCCCTGGAAGATGTCTGAACCCCTTCAGTTAGGGTTTCTAATGAAGGTTTCATTATGTAGGCATGGCTGATTAAAGCACTGGCCATGAGTGATGAATTCAACCTCCTTCCCTAACAGGCAAGTTGGTGTGAGGCTAAAAGGTCCAATCCTCAGCACATGGTTTGTCTCCTTACCAACTAGCCCCCATCCTTAACGGCTTTCCCAAAGTCACTTTATTAACATGGAAGAGGCTTGTTATAATCCCAGAAGACACTCCTTTCACTTCTTACTCCAGAGGTGTTTCAGGAACTGTGGACAAAATACATCTGTCATAATAATGATCTATTATTTTCTGTTACCACTTAGAAAATTACACAGGTTTTAGGAGCTATGGCCAGGAACTGAGGATGAAGACCAAAATGTGTATTTCTAATTATATCACAGTATCACAGATGCCATTTCCATTTGGTTATGAGGCCAGTTTACAAACTTCCCCAGAGTGGTGCCATGCGTCTACTACATTAACATCTCTCTCTGCAGGCCCGAGTCTTCTTTGTGCTGATTGTACTGATCCAGCTCACCACTCTCATCACTTTTAGGTATCTGGCATACCCAGAACTAAAAGGTTAGTCAAGGCTCCTTTTATTCTTGGAAAACTTTATTTAAAGTACTACACACTGTCCTCATTATAACCACACAATAAATAATGATATCGTGCATTGTCTTTGCATGAGCTCTGTGAGGTTTGATCCTCAAACTACATCTCTTCTTCCATAATCTTGAAGAAAAACATTCAAAAAAAATTTTTTTTTGCTGCTACATGGAAGTAAAGTGAGACTCAATCAAAATGGGGGAAAAAACTACAATATAGCTCAAAATGACCCAAGTTGGTTTTTTATTTTTGGCAGTACTGGGTTTGAACTTAGGGCTTCACACTTGTGAAGCAGGCACTCTGGCACTAGAGCCACACCTCCAGCCCTTTTTGCTCTGGCTATTTTAGAGATAGAGTTTCATTTTTTGCACAAGCTGTCCTGGACCACGATCCTACTATTTAGGTTTCCTGCCATCAGGAACTGAGATCCTTCCAGTGTCAGCCTCTTGTGTAGCTTAGATGACAAGTGTGTGCCATCACGTCCAACTATTGGTTGAGATGGGGTCTTGCGAACTATTTACCAGAGCTGGCCTTGAACCGTGATCTTCCCCATCTAACTGCCTGAGCTGAGCTGCCAGTGCCCAGTTCCAGGTTTTAATATAAGTAGCTAGTTAATGTAATTTTTATATTTGAAATACTTTTAAATTTAAAAAATACCCTATTAGTTCCAAAGTTAAAGATAAGGCACTATTAAAACTTGATAAAACTTAAGTGGTATATACTTCTGAATTACATGCACAGAGCAGGCTATAAAAAGTTGTAAAGGTGACTTTGCCTGGGGCCCTGACAGATGTCTGTCCTTGTATGTGTCCCCTAACTATATTTGCTAAATTCCTGAGTTACCTAGAAGATATCGGCAAAATAGTAATGGCTAATGAGGGTCAATTGATAATTATTAATATGCAACCCCTTTTAGAGGAATGTGAATTTCTTTCCTTCCTTCCTCCCTCCCTCCCTCCCTCTCTTCTTCCTTCTTTTCTTTCTTTCCCTCCTTCCTTCTCTTTCTTTTTCTTATTTTGAGACAGGGTCTCACCCTATAGATAAGACTGACCTCAAACTCACAATCTTCCTGCCTCCTGAGTGCTGACTACAGGCATTTACCACCATGCCCAGCAGTGAATTTCCAAATACGGGCAGTAAGTAGAGAGAACCCTAAGTCTTAACCAGATTCCTTCTCACTCTTCTTAACCATTTCCTCACTGTTAGAAGCCTGTGACTCAGGGAAATATTTTCCTAATGTCACAATCATGCCTCACTTTAGACTTCTTAGGATGATTACCAGCCACCCTAAATGACATATATGCAAACATCTGGTTGATGTTTTGTCCACAGGAGGTGCTCTATAACATGGGTGAAATCTATTGAATTTCACCCCAGTTAAAGAATTCATAATAAGGATTTGGCATGTCAGCTGGGCATGGTAGCATGTACCTAAAATCCTAGCACTACGTAGGCAGAGACAGGATGATTGTGAGGTCCAGGCCAGCCTTGGCTATGTGGTAAGACTCTTACCTTAAAACACCCAAAAAACAAAAAATAAAAATTTTTTTGGCATGCCACCTCAGTAGCTGCTAAAATTCTTTTGCCAAATTTTATGAGTGTGGGTTATTTCCTGCTAGATAGTATCCTGTCAATAAACCTAGGCTGATACCACTGGGTAGCCATGCTTTGAATGATCTTTTGGTTCAGGAAACTTCCACAGGTATATTTATACAAAAGAGTAATACATTTTCCCCTCATTTTTTTAGTAAAACTATTTACAAATATATAAATGCACTAATATTGACTATTAGCAATAGCTAGAGAGTCATAAACATGTAGGTACAACTAGGAGGTGTGGCTCAAGCGGTAGAGTGTCTGATTGGCAAGTGTGAAGCCATGAGTTCAAACTCCAGTCCCCCAACCCCAGCAAAAAAATGAATATAGGTACAACTAAATAACCTTTCTCACCTGTTTTCAGTCATTTCACCATTCACTGCTTAATCTAACTTTGATTCTATCAGTTGCCTGCTTACACTGAGGCTAGTAAGAGGGCAAAGAGTTACAGTCCTTTTATCCTCCCAAATTCTTGATTTTCTTGAAAACGTCTCTCTTTTCATTCCCTGTACTTTATCACAATGATCCCCAAATCTGGCACTACATTAAAATCACCTAAGGACATTTTCTAAAAATACAGATTTCTCAGCCCTATCTCATTCTCACTGAATTGAAGTATCTGAGGGAAGGATCTGGGAATCTCTGTTTTTAAGTGTTCCCCAGATGTTTCTGAAAAGCAGCCAGGTTTAGAAATCACTACATTTCATTCACAGCCTTTTTATAGGTATTGACAGGGCTTCCCTGTTAGCTTCTATGTCTTCTTTTATCTTTTGGTCCAAATTTCTTCCTTTTTTTTTTTTTTGTGTGTGTATGTATGTGTGTGTGTACTGGGATTTGGAACTCAGGGCTTTGTGCTCACTGGGCAGGTGCTCTACCACTTGAGTCACTCCACCAACTCAGCTTCCATGTCTTTTGAGGATTAAGCTTGCATTACCTATTTTAAAGTAACATTAAATTTACATGTCAATACTTTTTTCCTGGCTGATTTCCTTAATAATTGCAACACATAACTCCACTACTACGTTATTTGACTTAAAAGTAGTATGACTCCTTTAAGATACAAAGAATCTAGTTTCTAAGAATATTTAAACATAATTATTACAAAAACTTTTTGTTTGTTTGGTTTTGGTGGTAGTAGGGCTTAGGCTCAGTGCTTTGGACTCCACCACTTGAGCCACATCCTCTTTTCTATTCTTTTTTTTTTTTTTTTTTTTTTTTTTTGAGTAAAGTGGCAGAGTTTATTGAAATAGAAAAGAGGCAAAGAGTAGAGCTCTTTGAGCTGGGAGGGGTCCCAAGAGAGGGTTCCCCATACCCTCAGTTTAAAAATAAAGCTACATATTAGTTTTCTAGTGCTGAAATAACAAAATACTTTAAGCTGGTTGGCTCAAACAACAAAAAAAATGTTTTTATACAGTTCTGGAGCCTACAAGTCCAAGGTTAAGGTTTTGTTTATTTTTTGGTAGTACTGGGATTTGAACTCAGGGCCTATACCTTGAGCCACTCCACCAGCCATTTTTTGTGATGGGTTTTTTTTTGAGATAGGGTTTCGTGAACTATTTGCCCAGCTGGCTTTGAACCTTGATCCTCCTGATCTCTGCCTCCTAAGTAGTTAGGATTACAGGCATGAGCCACCAGCGCCCAGCAGAACTTGGTTTTTAAAAGCACCTTGTACTACCTAAGCTATTCTCTTTCTTTTTCACCTCTGGCTTTGAACCTTGATCCTCCTGATCTCTGCCTCCTAAGTAGTTAGGATTACAGGCATGAGCCACCAGCGCCCAGCAGAACTTGGTTTTTAAAAGCACCTTGTACTACCTAAGCTATTCTCTTTCTTTTTCACCTCTGATCACAGCTCATGCCCCAGTTTCTAGGTTCTCCTTAAAGCCTCTGAGTAAATGAAATCTGTTTTCCTAAACTTTGAAGTACATATCTCATATATTCTTTCTCCTGTATGGACTATATACTTACAATGCAACTAAAATTCTTTATTAGGTTACAAGCCATGTGAGGGAAAATGACACTTAATTACACATTTTAAAATTAATGGGTAAATTAATAGACTTAACTTCCTTTTTTTTTCTTCTGGCAGCACTGGGGTTTGAACTCAGGGCCTCACACTTGCTAGGCAGGTGCTCCACCACTTGAGCCACTCCACCAGCAAGGTTTTGTTTCTTTTGAGGTCTTTCTCCTTGGCTTCCAGATGGCTACCTTCTCACTGTTAAACCCTTTCTTTGAACTTTCTACCATCCATATTTCTAAGTACATTGGCTCCCCAGGATTCTGAATTTTAAAGTAGTGTCATCTCTCTAGTTACTATTTAACAAAAAACTTGCTGGATATATAGTAGATAGCCCATGGAAGCGTTCTAGAAAATATTATGAATAAATAGAACTTTGTATGTGTTCACTGGATTTTTTTTTAATTTATCCTATTTAGAACCTCCAGGATTTATAAATCTGACTTCATTTTCCCTCCATGTCTTGAGCAAAATAAACATTTTCTACTATTTTGTATTGTTGCTGACCCTGTATACAGTGCTGGGTAAGTAAATCAATACACTGGAGAATGTATAATTCTTCCAAAGAATATACTGAGAATTTTGACAATAAAATAATTTAAATTCTTAAGAGTATAACAGATGGAACATGAGTCCTACATAAATTATTCCCTGGGACATGTATTTGGGAAATAAAGCTCTTTCCTAATGTTTAAAAGACACTTGTCAACACTAAGTTACCTGTTAAGAGTGCTAAGAAGACTATTAAAGAATTAGTATTTGTATAGAAACATAATAAGATGAAAGACTAACTTAAAGCTTTATCTTTTATTTTGTCACTTTTTTATTACCTTTATCAGAAGTCATGGTTCTCTTCTGTGTTTATTATCTCTTTCCTTATTAGAATATCCATTGGCAGCTTATCTGTCTTGTTCATCTCTGTGCCCAGCACCAAACACAATGCTTAGTACATAGTTCAGTGAAGATTTACTAATGTGTGACTCTTAAAAACTCATTTCAAAACAAGAGAGAAACTGAGATGAATAATGAGTTCAGGCATATCTGAGATCATCTGTTACATTGATTATTATATCCCATACTTATGAAGTCACTTAATCACTGTGGAAACAGAAAGCTTTTTTAGGGGCTAAAAGTCAGTCAGGAGTAGATTAGCCTATTTTTGCTTAGTCTTACTCTTGGTTTTACACTTTTATTCCACCTATGGATTTTGATTATCAACTTCCACCAGAGAACAAATTAAAAATATGACACCACATTTTTGTGTAACAAGCTACAATACATCCTCTTTGAAGGTTTAAGTTCTCTTTGAAGATAGGCTGAAGCTGTTTTCCTTACTAGTCTTACACTAGGGGACAAAACAAGTGGTTTGGTTCTTGGGCTTAAAAAAAATTGAAAGAGTAGGAGTAGCTCCATTCAAAGAGTTGAAACTAACAGAGTTTTTGTAATGCATATCTGAGAAAATCACCAGCAAATGATGGTATGTGCATTTTGAGAAAGGAAGTCTGACTTCCCTTTACCACTTGTTTTTTCATACTGGGGTTTGAACTCAGGGACTACACCTTGAGCCACTCCACCGGCCCTTTTTTGTGATGGGTTTTTTTTTGAGATTGGGTCTTGCGAACTATTTGCTCTTGCTGGCTACAAACCTCAATCTTCCTTATCTCTGCCTCCTGAGTAGCTAGGATTACAGGCTTGGGCCACCAGCACCTAGCCCCTTACTACTCTTGACAATGTGGTAGTTCTAGAACCCAGACACTGAAAAGGGAAGGTAAATAATTCAGAGAAGAGAGACAAGTCAGCATGTTGTAATTCTAGGTGAAAAATTAAAGCAGCAAGTTAAACGCTACATGTTAACCCTGACTATGCAGTTCACGTACAAAGTAATGACTGTGGGTCAATAAGAAAAGGTCAAAATGCATTGTATTAGTAAGAACATTAAAAATTTTAAGTGTGATTTATACATGTGTTTGCAGAATCTACAAGCTACTTATCTATTCCAAATACAGCAGGTACTCCGACAGTTTTATAATTCAGAGATGTATATAGCTAATAGTATGAAACAAATAGTTGATTAGGATGTCAGATACAGTGTAGAGATTAGCAAAGAAGAAATGCTATGAAAGAAAATGCTTATAGATCAAATCAGGGTCATAGTTCTTTAATTTTCTTTTCTTTTTGTCCATTTCCTTTCTCAGGACCATGGTTTTTTGGTGAAATCATTGATGGCAAATTGGGTTGCTGTTTTTCCTTTGGAATATTTGTTAATGGACATTTTCTACAAGGCAGTCTAACATTTATAGTTGGAATTTTACAGGTAAGAAATCAGAAATACAATTTAAGAACATCTTGGCCTTGTTGGACTAATTGTTTAACAGTTATGAATTAAATGCAAAATTCCAAATTAAATATCACAGGTCATTTTTCCTACTTTACTTAAGAGGGCAGTCTTTAACAACTGCTATTTTGTTTCCTTCCCCTTTTCTTTGACCAGTCTTTCATAATACCTGCATGGGATGGTAGCCAAAAGACTGAGAAGCAATTATGAAAACATCTAAAACATATTTTGGCACATTTCACAAAAGTGAAATGAGGGACTTGTGGTAGAATAAATTACACATTTCCAAGTAAACCAAAACTGGTTATGATAAGAAAAATGTTTTGGGGGACAAAATAAAAAAAAACAGACACATAAGAAAAGTGGGTCAGTTATTTTGTGGAAACTTTTCTGGGCCAAAATCAGACTTGAGCTTTTCAATGATGTCTTACCAACATTCTTGTTTGCAAAAACAATAGAACATCTACATTTGATTCCTTTAAAACCCACAAACAAAAAATTCTGATCAGGACCGGTTATGGTGGCTCACACCTATAATCCTACACTTTGAAGCCAGCTCTGGTAAAAAGTTAGCGGGACCCCCATCTCAATAAGCTGGGCAGTGGTGGCATGCACCTGTGATCTCAGCTATGTGGAGGCCATAGGTCGAAGGTTTGCGGTCAGAGGCCAGTCCCTCCTCCCCCCAACAAAAACATAAGACCCTACCTGAAAAACAACTAAAGCAAAAAAAGGGCTGATGTGGCTCAAGTCTTAGAGTGCCTGCCTAGCAAACATGAGGCCCTAAATTCAAACCTCAGTAGTGCCAAAAAAATAAGGCTGGCAGAGTGGCTCAAGCGGTAAGAGCACCTGCCTAGCAAGTATAAAGCCCTGAGTTCAAACTCCAGTGCCACAACCACAACAACAACAAATCCTGATCAATAGATAGTAAAACTCCACAAATAGATTTGAAAAGTATTTACCTAATAATTACTTTGTTTTACTCACCATATGGGGCTGGTAGATCACAGTCTCAGGTATAATTTGAAGTTTTGGAAGAGATCCAAAAACATTCTAAATTTGTTCAAGACTTCTTAAAAGAGCAGTAAAACAAGATCAGTAGAAGTAGACACAGCCAAGTAGGAAAGGCCTTTGCACTTACCCAACACTGACCCCAATAAACAGCCTTCTCTGCACAGTTGCATTAAGTGTGGGGGTTGAACTCAAAGCCACACATATTCTAAGCAAGAGTTCTACTGTTAGGGTACGAGGCCGGCCACCTCCTGAGAGGACAAAGGACACTCGAGACAAAGGAAGTCACAAGGCAAGGTATATTTCTAGCTAGCTAGGGTCCGAGCATCCGCCTGACGCAGCAGGTTTCAACAAGGACCCTGAGAGCAAAGTTTAAGCAGGTCTTATACTCTTTAAAGCATCAATCATCGTCACATAGGAATTTTTCATGTCCCTGGGGTCACATTTTCCTGATCTTGCCCACATCCTGGTGGTGGGGTAATATTATTTATTGGGAACTGGGGAAACACCAGAGGTTTACTTATCAGGTTACAAGGAATGCGTTCTCCCATAAATTAGGGGCTAGTAGTGGAATAGAAACCTAAGGTTTAGATAAGAACAGCAGGGGAGTCCTGCTTTGGAAAGTTTATTTACAAGTGGAGACAAAGAAAGGCAGGAATGGGTGCTTATCTCTACATGGTGCCTTTCATCTCGGTCCCAAACTTTTGCATGGCTATAATGAGCAATTCCTCACAGCTCTGTCTGAGATTACAGCTTTTAATTGACAGTTTACCATGTTTTACAACCCTGTTTCAAGGCTATCTTCCTCTTCACGAGGTTACCCAAGGGTCATGCCAGTTATAGCTGATTTTTAGGCTAGGTGGGCTACAAGTTAAAGTACCCCAACATTCCCCCCTTTAGATGTTCATAATGAGGAATCATGCTCATTTGGATGATACATGTTAACATTTTCAGGGCTAGGTAGCCCTTCATATTGCTGTCTCAGGACCATGAGTTGGACTGTACTAACTCGATCTTTTATGAAGGTCACTAGCTTATTCAGAATGCATGGGCCGAAAGGATAAGCAGCAGTATAACCAAGGGACCCACCAGGGTAGAGACTAAGGTAGTAAACCAGGGGGACCTATTGAACCAAGCTTCAAACCAACCTTCTTGGGCTTCTCTTTCCCACTTCCTTTTTGCCAGTCCTTCCCTCACTTTAGACATAGACTCCCTAACTACTCCTGAATGATCAGCATAGAAACAACATTCCTCTCCTAAGGCAGCACATATTCCCTCCTGCTGAAGGAACAATAAGTCTAGCCCCCGTCTGTTCTGAAGTACTACCTCAGATAGGGAGGTAAGGGATTTTTCTAGGTGACTAATGGAGGCTTCTATTCTCTCTATGTCCTCGTCTGTGGCTGTACACAGCGAGGACATCCCACTATGTTGAGTAGCCAGGGATGCTATGCAGTTCCTGCTCTGGCCACTCCTAGGTTAAGTAGGGTAGCAATGGTTAATGCAGAAATAGGCTTTCTTTTTTTTTTTTTAACCTGTTCCTGTATTCCAGTGTGAATATAGGCTCTCCTCAGAATGATAGATGATGCGGGGCAGCACAGTCACTAGGACACAGAATTCCCTAGAGCCATTAAAGACATTAGTCGATAGGCAAGAGGTGAGCCCAGACTGTGAGCATATCCACCATCCATTGTCTTTTGGAATTACCCACTTAATACCATCGCCCCAGGTGGGGTTGATATCTACAACAGCACATAGGTCCTGTTTTCCCGCTGGCACCTTCCCTAAGCAGGTTCCTTGGCTGCTTACTTGTTGTATGGTCAGACCTCTCTAACGGTTTCCCCGGGAACATTGAGTGGGGTTTTCACTAGTCGAGACATTGTAGGTGGCATTTAGTCCTATTGCCTCATAGAATGGGGGCCTCACATCATAGCACAGCCAGCAGGAGGTAGTCATATTAGAGCTGGTATGGTTCAATGTTAGGAATGCGGCATTTACCAATTTCCAAAGGGGGTCCATAGACCCGGTCGTGGGGCTGGGCCTTCCCAGGGAAGTGCCAGTTCCTAGCGGTTCTGGAGTTGTAATACTAGCATTTGTGTGAGGTCGGGAAGGGACCGGGGTTGTGCGAGGTCGGGGAGGCGGCTCCACATAGGGTGGCTTAAGTACTTTATTGGGGCCTATTGCCTGAGTAGGGGTGGGTTGCTGTGTGAGCTGGATGGTAAATAGGGCTCCCTGGTCTTGGGCCCTGAGCCTCATCGGGTCATAGCGGCGAATCCCCCAGATGAGGCCTGATATCCATCAAGTGTCAGCTTTACCTTTTTCTGTAAATTTGATTTTTACAAGGTCACAGCGGGGCCTCCAGCGGCTTCTTTGTTCTGTTGTACAGCCCTTAGACACGGTAATTAGGTCTGTTTTTTCAGGGGGTGGCCACCAGATGTTGCCAGTGGACACACAGGACCAGGAAGCACAAAAATAATTTGATGCCCCCCCTGCACTGTTTACTATTACTTTTACCTTTTAGGTGTCCTGGACAGATGTAAAAGTTATCCTTCAGAATCCCCGCACGGGCCACCAGTTTTGTCAGATCAAAATTTAAATCAGGGAACCAGACGTTGGGAGGGGTCTCCTTGGAGGTCTGAGTGAGAATCTCCCCTGTGGATATATCTGTGACCACCCAGGTGAGGTGGTAGGGCTGGTGGGGATTAGGGTTCTGGGCAGGTCCCACCCAGCGTAGACACAGAAGGCTTAGAATGCGCAGGAGGAATTTTATCATCTTGCTGGCTAATGGGCCTTGGGGTCTGCCCTGGTCTGGAGGTCACTGCAGGGGGGGCGTTGAAAGTCACGTGGAGAGTTGCTCTGTACATCTCCTGGGCTGGATGAGCTTCAGTTTTAATGGATTATTGGGGTGTTGCCGTGCGATCCACTCTCTAGCCTCTTCCTGTTTTTGATGACTGGCTTGACGCACGTGGGAGTGATGGACCCAAGGCCCGATGCCGTCAACCTTAAGAGCAGTGAGGGTAACCAGAATGACCATGTAAGGGCCTTTTCATCTTTCTTCTAAAGTGCGGGCTCTGTGTCTCTTTACCCACACCCAATCCCCTGGGACGATGCCATGTTCTGGGTTTGATGCATCTTGGCCTCATACAAGAAGCGCACTAAGGGCCAGATCTCTTGTTGGACCTCCTGTAGGGCCTTTAAGCTAGCCAAGTAATTTGGGGCCATACTGGGGTCTTGGTCTGGTAGAGTTCGGACAACAATGGGGGGCGGAGCCCCATATAGAATTTTAAAAGGTGTCAATCCATGTACATATGGTGAATTTCGAACCTGGAAGATGGCATAGGGTAGGAGGGCCACCCAGTCTCTGCCAGTCTCGATGGCTAATTTAGATAAGGTCTCCTTCGGGGTCCGATTCATTCTTTCTACCTGCCCTGAGCTCTGGGGGTTATATTCACTATTTCCAATTAGTCCCCACTGCCTGGACCAGCCCTTGTAGGACGTTACTGATGAAAGCCGGACCATTATCAGAGCCTAGAGTTTCGGGGATGCCATATCTGGGTATGATTTCCCAGACTTGGGCAGTCTCTCGTTTTGCAGGAAAAGCCTCCACCCAGCCTGAGAAAGTGTCTATCAGAACCAACAAATACCTATACCCATACCTTCCCGGCTTCACCTCAGTGAAATCTACTTCCCAGCTCCGTCCCGGCACCCTCCCCTGTAACCGTGTACCTGTATGTAGGAGTCCCTTTTTGCTGGGTTTCACAGCCTGGCACCCGGCACATTGGTCACAATCTTTTGAATCTGGGCTGTTTGGTGTGGGAACTGGAGGTGGGCCGACTCGAGGAGGGTGAGTAGTTTCTTCTTGCCTAAATGGTTGGCTCGATGTAGGTTGGAGAAGAGAAACAGTCCTAACTTTTCAGGAAGGATCAGTTGCCCTTTGTCATCACGATACCAGCCTTGCTGGTTGGACTCCGGGC